ATAGCTTCCAGGATGGGTCACTGTGATATTCCAAGCACTGAAAGTTTTCATAAAAGAGTTTCCTTATAGTCTTTCTCATAAATGTTCTTCACAGTCAGTGTTGACCAGTGCATAGAATGAGAATGCCAAAATGTTATAAATACAGACTTTTATATTTTGTACCTAATACACCACTGAATTTCTTTACTGTTAGGCTGCCATAACGCCATTCAGTTTATTCTCCAGCATTTTAGCTCATAAAAAAGATGAGGAAAATGATAAATAGATTTCTATTTGGAATTGGATTGGTAAGTATGAGAGGATGGAGAAGGGTATGATGTATCAATGAACCATTTGGCTTCCTTAAACACAACAGCACAAATCTAAAAGCAATGTAATTTATGAAAGCCAAACTAAATCTTTCTCAATTTGTTGTGAGTCCTATGTGAATGATGTACATCATGTCAAAGTTAAGTGTGTCAGCTGGGTCTTCAAGATGAAGATGCCAGGTCTGTGGGCTGTGGAGAGGAGAAAAAAAGTGAGTGGGCTAGAGAAAGCTAACTGATGAGAGTAATGTAGGTGGGATATTGAGTGAGTAAACAGTGTATTTCCTTGTGATGAATGTGATATGAAGTCTAGCAACCTTAATCCAAGATAATCCTAGGAATGTAACAATTATAGGCTGTTAGGGTACGTCTACACTAGCCCCCTAGTTCAAACTAAGGAGGCTAATGAGGGCGACTGAAATTGCTAATGAAGCGCGGGATTTAAATATCCCACGCTTGATTAGTATATTCCCGGCCGGTCACCATTTTGGAAACTGACTAGCCTGAAGTAACTGCCCGTGTTTACACATGGCAGAGAAGCACGATTCCGAGATAAACCCCTTAGTTTGAATTAGCAGTTATGGAATGAGGTTTAACTGTTAATTTGAACTAAGGGGTTTATCTCAGAATTGCGCTTCTCTGCCGCGTGTAGACGCGGGCAGTTACTTTGGGCTAGTCAGTTTCCAAAATGGTGACCAGCCAGAATTTGCTAATCAAGCGCAGGATATTTAAATCTTGCACTACATTGGCAATTTCAGTCGCCCTCAATAGCCTCCTTAGTTTGAACTAGGGGGCTAGTGTAGACGTATCCTTACTGTGAGGACGGAGAAAAATTCTTGTTCTTAACCTCTGAGGATAATACAGTGGACTTAAAATGCAGCAAGGGAAGTTTAGGTTGGACATCAGGAAAAACATTCAAATTTTCAGGGTGGTTAAACTTTGGAATAAATTGCTTAGGGAGGTTGTGGAATCTCCATCATTGGAGATTCTTAAGAGGAGGTTAGACAAATACCTAACAGATAATACTTAGTCCTGTGATTAGTTCAAGGGACTGGAATAGACAATCTCTCAAGGTTCCTTCCAATCCTGTGATCCTATGATTAACAAAGCTGTCTGTGTGGGAGTCTGATGATTATGTGCTGACTGGAGATTATGAAATAGAATCACTGTCTAAGATCTGCTGATGGAACCCAGACAGCAGGCCTTTGATTGCAGAAAGTCTCAACATAGTTGTACAATGATGTAAAAAGCCTGCAATCCTTGCTCAGGGATTGTCAACACAGCTGAAAAGTTAGCAGGACCAACTGGGGCAAGGCAGTATCAGAGTACACAGGGCATACTCTGAATCATAATAAATCTTGGATCACTTGCACCCACAGAGTTTAAAGCTGTCCTCCTGCTCCCTCTAAGTGATGAGTGAGTGTGGAAAAAGGAAGGTAATGTTTCAGGAGGGACCTTGTTTGTGTGTTACACTCAGAAGTGCAAACTGGGCCACATTTCTACCAGAGAAGCAAGTCATTGAACAGGTAACACTGACCTCTAGACATGTACAGTAAAAATCTCTTTTCCACAACTCTACCGGCTGCTGCATCAACTTTTGCACTCCTCCCACTGAGGAATCCCCACTCATAGACACCTGCCTCGATGGATGCAAATTGTACCATCCTCCTTCACCTGCAAAGGTGAATTATATCTCGATAGTCTGTTTTTAAAACTCTTGAATATGGACAGGGTCCTTTTTGAGTAATCACATCAAAATATGACTAAATACAAATAATTGTATTTTGTTTACTGCTTATTAAATAAAATACATGAAATAAAATTCAGCAGCTGGAAAGCACGGCTTATTTGATCTGGACTATATCTATTCAAGACTATCATAAATGGGAAAATAACCCCTTAAGTGTTTGTTTTTCAGTGAAACAGACAATATCTGGGTCTGGAGAATCGGCAGCATGAAGAATGAGACACTTTATTTATCCAGGTGAGATAAAGACAGGAAATTGCCATATTATGTCATTTTCCTCCCAGCAACCTCCAGTGGACTTGCTGTTTCCATGAGGACTCATTGTTCCTAGAGGTGACAAGTGATTTAGCTTGTTTGACAACGTTCCATGCTGAGATAAGAAATTGGATATTTGCCAAATTACCCAGTATCTTTTTTGCATTGTTATGATAAGGTCACATTCCATTACCAATTTCTTTTTTTTTTAACAGAGCATTTTATATATATGGTATTTCAGAGGTCGTCTGATTCATCACAATGTTTTGCAAGTGACTAATTAAAACACGTGGTTCCTTCATGTCTTCTTTCATCTACAGATTTCAAAGTAGTTTATAGAGAAAGAAAGCTATTATTTTCCCTCTTCTATAGCTAAGCATACAGGCATGGAATGATGAAGGAACTTGCCCAAGGTGACAGAGCAAATTAGAAGCAGAGTCAGGAACAAAACTCAGGTCTCCTGGTTTCCAGTCACCTGCTAACCATTAGACTGAACAGCTTTACTCGCAACATGGATAATCATGCAGTAGTGACAGAGATTGGAGGCTGTTATTGGCGATTGCTTGCAGTTAGAAAATCAGCCTAGCAGACTGATTGAAAAATTAAATAAATACAGGTTTCAGAGGGGCAGCCATGTTAGTCTGTTTAATAAAAAACAAGGAGTCTGGTGGCACTTCAAAGACTAACAGATTTATTAGGATATTAGGGCATAAGCTTTTGTGAGATGCAATTCAGTTCCACAGATGTTGAAGAGAAAAGAAAAGAGGAAGGGATAAATACAGGCCTCTTAGCAGTCAATTCTGGATCCTGCTCTGACCTTTCTATGACTCTCTGACAAAGGAAAGAGGCCATAAATGGAATGGAGGGCACCCTATGTGGCTGTTGTTTGCACAGGGCATATCACAGGGGCGGACTGGCCGGGCAGGATACCGGGAATTTCCCAGTGTGCCGTTGTCTGGTGGGCCATTGTGTCCACACATCGTTGCCCCTCACTCTGAGCGGCTCTGTGTCCGCGCTGTATGCAGCATGCAGAGCCCGACCCACTGCCTGCGCCGCGTGCCGGACATGACGTAGGGGGCGGGGCTTGAGGGGCACACAGGGGTGATGTCATGGGGAAGGCTGTTCTCAACCCATTTCCTGGGCCTATTTTGATTGCCAGTACGCATACCATCATAGGAAGGAACATGGGAAGGGTTTGAAGGGAGTAGTAGCTGAAGCTTTCATTGTCGTAAAGCTAGGCTACAGAGCAAAGGCAGCATAGGTCAAGGCTGCTGTAAGGTAAAGCAGCCCTTGAGGTTCTTCTAACTTGTGCCAGGATCCATTTTGTTGCCAAGGTGGCGTAAAAACACCTTTAGTATCTCCAGTCTTCCCTAGTTCCCTTGGACTGCGTAGTGCCCACGTGTGCCTGGCACTTCACAGACGTATGATGTTATTATCTCAATATGATCATTTTATTAATGCATGTGAGGATTTGCTACTGAATAACCTCTACTAAAAGACCAGTCATGTTGTATCACTTGAAGTTTAAATGGGAGTAGGGTGCTTCCATGCACACAATAACAAACCAGTCCTGATTTAAAAGTGAAAAATCACCAATTATTCTACATCAGCAAAATAACCTAAGTCCCTCAAGATACTATTGTATCAGGAGAAAAGAGACATAATAGCTATGTCTACACTTGCGGCTTCATGCGCAAGAACAACTGTTCTTGCGCAATAATCCACAGTGCATCCACACTGCCCACCCGCTCCTGAGCAAGAAGATTTACAGTATGGCGTGGTAAGAGATGGCTTCTTGCGCAAGAGGTATGCTCTTTTCTTACAAGTGTAAGCTCTCTTGCGCAAGAGCTCTTGCCAAGACAGCTTCCACTTGTAAGAAAAGAGCGTAGCTCTTGCGCAAGAAGCACAAGTGTAGACGCTCTCTTGTGTAAGAAAGCTGCTTTAGCTATAGAATTTTATTGCGCAAGAACTCCTGCCACGCATCCACACTACCATGGGCGCTCTTGCGCAAAAGCACATCTCACACATGGCAGTGTGGACGTGTTCTTGTGTAGGACTCCTTGCACAAGAACCCTTGCGCAAGAAGTTCTTGCGCAAGGAGCCACCAGGGTAGACATAGCCAATGTGTATAGCAAAGCAGAGAAATACCAAACATTAAGAATGACTAAAAGTGATTAAATAATTGGATAGATTTTTAATTTGTCTGCATTTTTTATTTGTACCCAAGCATGACCAAAAACATACACCCAAACTGCACATATAGCAAGGCTGTTCTCCACTGACATATACAAAGCAACACTAATGAGAGTACCCAAAAACGTACACAAAAGAAAGAGGAACCCTTATTGTACTACACTGATTGGTAAAGTTTATTCACTATATAATCTTTATTTTAAATTCTGTCCTGTGTTTTTCACGAATACATTAATTAATTTTAAACTAATTTACCTTTAAAGTACACAGGCTGTTGGATTCTGTGGATTTTGGAACTTAAAATGAAGTATTAAGAAACTACTCCCTTTAACAACACAGTGCATAGACATAGAGCATTTTTTTAAGGGTGGACATTTGTTGCAATGAAACAGTTAAAACCTCTCCTGCAACATTAGATTTGTGTACCTGGACCTGTTTTACAGGTTTCTCAGGAGGGAAAATAACAATTTAATGTGACAGCACACAGGAGCTAGGCGTAAGAGAGAAGATCAGAAGTTTGCATAAGTGTGCTTCCCTTTTCAAAGTGCTGCTATTCAAGGGATCTTTCAAACACCCCTAAAGGACCATTATGGTGGAGCAGGAGATGTTATCAAAATGTTTTTGTCCTCAAGAAAAGTGTAAGTGACCACATTTGATTTTTATATAAGAAACAAAAACATTACCTGACAGATCAAATGAGAAAAAAAGCAATTAGATATGGGAGAGGAAAAGGAGAAGTCTTAAAACTATAAAGAATGAAGCAATTAACTTTATATTTCTAGACTTGCAATATAATCAAGGTTTTTACAGCACAAAAGAGAAGGACTCTTGTGTGAAGTATCTTGAAAGGTTTTTTTATTTAATGTTGGATTTATTGCTTGTATTAGCAAAGAACTGTATTGTAGTGTCTGCCTCAGTCGAGAGGACTTGAACAATGAGTTTAAATATCTTGAGTGACAGACTGAAGTGCTGTGAAAGCATTTTGCCACAACAGTGTGTTTTTAACTTGCAGTGTCTTTTTTTTTTTTTTTTTTTTGACACTGTGAAAACTTATTTTTTTCTGAGTCATTGGCAAGCTTTCTATCGGCTTGTCCAAATGTCAGCTGAGAATTACAATGCAGTGACAGGAGTCTTAAATTGATCCAAGAAAATAACTTCCAGAGCTTCTATACTAATTTCTAATATTTCCTTTCATTGTGGTAAATTAAACAACTAGTGAATGATAAAAAGTCATCATGAATTTAGGGTTTTTTTTAATGTTAAGAAATCAACTCTCTTCCAGGCAATAGCAAATAGAACTTTAGGCACCACATGAACTAACCATGTAGCAGGAACCTGAAAGCTTAGTTGGCTGGAAACTAATGTATGTGGGTTGAATAACTTGGAGCTGGAGCTGTTTGAATCAATTCATCAGGGTGGAACTGGTATGCTGATGAATCAGTTGAACACCCTGCCACAGTGAAGGACTGATGCAGAGACTGAAGGCATGCTACGCACTTTCAAATTGCTAGGTTTGTTTGGTTTGGAAGCTTAAGTAGGATGACTCCAGTTAACATTTTCTTCTAGGGCTATGTCTACACAGCAACATTATTTCAAAATAACATAGTCTGTGTCTACACAGCCGAAAGTTATTTTGACATAATGCTGAAATACTGTCAAGCTGCAGGACATCTTACTTTGACTCCTGTAACCCTCATTTTATGAGGAGTAAGGGAAGTCGGAGGAAGAGTGCTCTATTTCAAAATAAGTATTATGTAGACAGCACCAAAACTCGAAATAAGCTATTTTGAAATAAGCTATGCAATTGACATAGCTCAATTTGCATAGCTTATTTTGAGTTAAGCCCTGCTGTGTAGACATACCCTTGGAGAAGGATCAGCTTGGTTCTGAAAATAGAAATGTAGCTTGTTTCATGTTCTTTGTTTCAAGTTCCTGAAAGATTTTTTTTCTTTACACTGATTAAATAAGAAGAGAATCGGATAAGGTTGTCATTAAAAAGGAGAATCCTCCATGATAATTTTGTACTTTTGTCTTGTTCGTGACTGTTGGCAGAATCTTTCTGAACCTATTACTGAAGGTTTTATAGATCCCAAAAGGAAAGACCTAAGACCAGATCCTCAGCCCTTCTGCATCACTCAGCTCAAAGAGACTGTAAATTGGCTTAACTAGCCTCCTGAAGATAATGCTTGCATACGGAAGGTTTAGGGAGACCCAATAGCTATTCTCCTGCACTCAGGCCTCTGTGTTTGGAATGTGGTGGTTCACAAGGAGAGGTGGTCAGAGCACAGTTGTCCTCAACTGACAAGCTGCCCCTTTGGGGCCATAGGTAGCAGGAAGCAACTTAGAATGAACAGGGGACACTCTGAGGACTGAACCAATCCCTGGATCTCCCTGGCAAGCCTCTAGAATGCGGACTTAACGAGGCAGCATTAAGTCTTCTTTGCACCCATATCAGTCTTATACCAGGCTCAGCTTGACAGGCAAAGAAGCAGTCCCTACAAGGCATTGATGTAAAATGAATGCAATGGGTATTTTCAGGCTGCCCCAAATTATATTTAGAGTTGCTGTATTGTGGCTATAAAACTATGATTCTTGATCTTTTTTCTGTATATTGTACCTTTTAAGTTTATATGAAATCAATGTTCAGGAGGCAATGACTGTCTTGTTTCTGCCACAGTCTGTGCAGTACAAATTATTTCGAAATAGTTTTTGTGTATAGATGCGTTATTTTGAATTAACTATTAGACATACCCTCAGAGAGTGAGGGGGAGACATTCCTGCCGGGATGGGGGGCAGAGGCTGAATGGCTGACCAGTGCATATGAGCAGCTGGATACCACTGCCATTTGATGAGCACATCAAGGGGCTGTATTATTCAGGGAAGCCTTGGGGGAGAGTTTCAGCCAAGGTGTGGCTGCACCAGCCACAAGTGCAGCTGAGAGAGGCTTCTGGAGGCTAATTATTTTGAATTAGCAGAACCAGATCATTCACACTAACACTATTGTGAAATAACAATTTCGAAATAAGCGTTATTTCCCAAGGAAAATAGGAGTATATATATTGAAATAATCAGCCCGTTATTTCGAAATAACAGGCGGGTAGTGTGAATGCTGCGCTTGTTATTTCAAAATACTAACTTGGAAGATCTATGATTTAATCGATATGGATAGTATCGCTAATGGTGCAGATCTCAACTTTTCCACGCCATCCTGTTTTGTGTGGTTCTTGTCCATATTCTTCCATGAATCTTCCATAAAGGACCCACACAACGTGCTGGAGGCCTTCCTCTTGTTCTTTTTATGTCTCGTGGATATCAGTGGAGTATGCACGCTACCCAACTGTTGTCTCTCGGTCTCGCTACATGGCCAGCCCATCTCCTTTTCTGATTGTACATAACTTAGATATCATTGACATTACTTCTTGCACACAAATTGTCGATAGTAATATGCTATAGCCTATTTATACCACTATGTGTCTTTCTATTGCTCTTTGGGTGGTTTGCAGCTTTAATTCTTCTGTAAGCGTCATGTTCCACGTTTCGCAGCCATACAGCATTACCAGAAGGATACTGGTGTTAAAGAGATGGACTTTTGCGGTGGTGGAAAGTTTGGGATCTACAAAAACACTGTGCAGACACCAAAGGCAATCCAACCTGACCTCCTCCAAAATAACTCCCTAGTGTGGACCAGGGCTATAGCACTTACGCTCAAAATTAAGTGCTTGCTGGATTGAGCTATAGAGTTTAGGATTTTGCATGATACAAAATTAAGGCTATGGCTACCCTACAGACACTGCCTTCCCAAACCACCAGCCTGGCCCTGCTCACACCCGGCCTGCAAAACACCTACTGTAGGCATTCTGGGGGTGGAATGTTGCTGCCCCAAAGCACTCGCCCTCCCCATGCTCTGGGGCTGGGGAGGCTCGGGCTGCACACCCCTCCCTTCCTGTGATGGCCACACCACAGAATCTTGTAGATTGTCTGAGCCATATGTATCTATGTGAAAATCCTAACCCTTCCACAGCTGGGATCGTGTACCAACACGATCTGCTGTGGAACACCACAGAAACATCTTTCAAAGAAGAATGGAGAGTTTTCCATGCCTTCTAGATCTTTTCCCCTGGAAAAGGCATATAGCCACTTAGACGCGCAGGATCCACGGGGCGCAGCCAGAGCTATGCCACAAGAGGTAAAGACATCTCCTTGCAGAGACTTTCACATTGCATTTCGGACTTTCACATTGCGAATCGGCCTACCTCCATCCGAGCACATTCCAAAAGGGCTGTCTGTAGCCTTCCTACATGAAGTCTCAACTGTGGATATTTCTAGAGCTGCCACATGGGCCTCTGAACATATCTTTGCCAAGAATTATGCACTCACACAAGGTCCTCGTTAATGCATGCAGCTTTTTAGTCACCTGCTGTGGAGCACCCACAGGGACATCTCTCAAAGTAGAAGAGAAAGTTATTCACCTTTGCAGTAACTGATGCTATTCAAGATGAGTGTCCCTATGGGTGCTCCACTACTCACCCTCTTCCCCTCTACTTCAGAGTTTTTAGTGTTGTCTCCTTTGTAGAGAAGGAACTGAGGAGGTTGGCCATGCATGCGCAATGTCAGGGCACTGAAGGCATGCAAGCTGGCACCGTGCCTGTGCGGCCCACAAGGGCACTGCTCTAAATGATTCTGATTTATTGCACAGGGGTGCACTGACACCTGTTGTGAAACACCCACAGGGATACTCATCTCGAAGAACATCAGTTACTGCACAGGTGAGTAACCTCCTTATCCCCAGGAGCAGGAGGAAAGAGCAGGGAACTTCAAAATAGGATCTTATCTTTTGAAGTGGATGTGGACTCTAGCCAGACTCTTTTATGGCAAGAGGGGACAGATCTGGAAAGAGGTAACCTGGCCAGAGATGTAGGCCACAGAAGATACAGACAGATACAGGATCACAAGAGAGCAGGGGGGTGGCATTCCTTACCCATTTTTTTTTATCATTTAAGTAAGCGGCTTTCCAAAGTCTCTTTTCAAGAACCCCAAAAGGGAGTGATGGGCAAACTAGCTGTCAGCCGACGGTCAGGGCAGGGTGTGTGTGTGTGTGTGTGTGTGTGTGTGTGTGTGTGTGTGTGTGATACACCCGAGACTTCAACTGCTGAGGCCGGGGTCCCTTCACAGCGGGCAACCTGGAGAAGGTAGACGGGCGCCTCAAGAGTTTACAGGGAGAGCTTATTACATCTCAGATTTCAGCTGCTAAGATACAGGATCCCATCGCAGCGGGCAGTCTAGGGAAGACTGAGAGATGCCCCAACGGATCTGTCACCTGGGAGTGACACGATCCAAAACGCCCAAGCTCTTCCTATACCTGTCCCTATGACCGGCTGAAGTTCTTTTTTTTTAAATTGTGCTTGGTTCTGTTACAGCAACTGAAGGAGTCAGGTTAAAGCTTAAACAGTTACTGGTTTATTGTTTCAGGGTAAACTTAGCTGTTAAATGCTACTACTGTGTTACAGATAACACAGCCACTACAAAGGACAGGAAAGAAATTACACTAAGAAGTCACTTACAGGTACCATGAAACCCTTTTGGTTCTCTGAGCTCTTATTAAATGCATGCAAAATAGACACCTAGCAGGTATATATTC